TTATATTTGGTGGATTGCTGTTGTTTTCTTTAAGTGATACAACATTGAATTACATTCATAGGCCACGGTTTGTTCAATCATTCCCCAATGGACAGGCAAGTATTTTGATGCCTGTTTTTTCATTACCAAAAAGTGCTGCTATAAAGGTTTGGGTCCACCTGGGCCTTCCTTTCCACCTTGTCAGCCATTTCTTAAGCACCTGTTATGTCTTAGCCACGTGTCTAAGCATTGGGGATATAGAAAAAGGCAAAATACAGTCCCAGCTCTCCAGATCACAGTTTAGTGGTGGAGACAACATGCAAACAATTATGTATAAACAAGCTACATACAGGATAAATAAACAGAGGAAGGCATAGAATTAAGGGGGATCAGGAAAGTCTTCCTACAGAAGGTGGGATTTTAGTTGGGCTTAAAGGAAGCCAGGGAAGGCAGGAGATGGAGATGGGGAAGGAGAACATTCCAGGCTTGGGGGGGCAACCAGGGAAAATGTCCAAGGTGGAGAGAATATTTTGTTTGAGGAACAGCTGGGAGGCCAATGTCAATGGATCCCAGAATACCTGGGGAGAGGGGAGGAAGCAAGGTATAACAAAATTGAAAAGACAGGGAAGAGCCAGGTTATGAAGGGCTTTGAATGCCAAACAGAGCATTTTGTATTTGATTCTGGAGGGAGGCGGGGAGTGACATGGTCAGACTTGAACCATAGGAAGATCTGTCTGCTAGCTGAGCAGAGGGTAGACTGGAGTGGGGAGAGATGTGAGGCAGGCAGACCCACCACAGGCTATTATTTCAATAGTCCAGGTAGGAGGGCATATTTGAGAGATGTTAAAAAGGTAAAATCGACAGGCCTTAGTGACAGATATGGAGGGGTGACAGTGAAGAGAGGAGGCTGACATCTAGTATGTGACTGTGAGGGGACTGGAGGATAGTAGTGCCCTCAACAATAATAGGAAAGGGGGCAGCTACCGGCCGTGACATCAGGAGGACCTGAGTTCAAATCCTGCCTCAGACCAAACACTTGACACTTACTAGCTGTGTGACCCTGGGCAAGTCACTTAACCCCAATTGCCTAAAAATAAAAAGAAATAAAAACAATAATAGGAAAGTTAGGAGGACCTTAGTGTTTGGGTGGGGGAGGATGATAATGAGTTCAGTTCTGAATATGTTGAGTTTAAGATGTCTATGGTACATCTAGCTTGAGATGTCCAATATGTAGTTGAATACTGGAGGTCAGCACAAAGATTTGGGCTGGATAAGTAGATCCCTGAATTGTTAGCATAGAGATGGTCATTTCATCCATGGGAACTGATGGGATTATAGTATAGAAGAATAAGAGAATAAATAGTATAGAAGAATAAGAGAAGAGAGCCCAGGACAGGTCCCTTTGGGACATCCACAGTTAAGGGGCATGACTTGGATGACGATCCAGCGAAAGAGACTAAGAAGGAGCAGGCAGATAGGTAGGAGGAGAGCAGGAGAGGAATAACATCCTGAAAACATAGAGAGAAGGAAGCACCAAGGAGAAGAGCAATTGGCAATGTCAAAGGCTGCAGAGAAGCCAAGAAGGATGAGGACCGAGAAAAGGCCATTGAGATTACTGGCAATTGAGACATCACTGGCACCTTTGGAGAGAACACTTTGAGTTGGATGGTGAGGCCCGAGGTCAGATTGCAGAGACTTAAGAAGAAAAGGGGAGGAAAAGAAGTAGAGACTCCTATTCCAGAAGGTCTTCCCAAAGAGTTTAACCACAAAAGGCAAGAGAGATATGGGACAATAGTTGGCAGAGATGGATATATTTATCAAATTAGAGTTTTTAAGGATGAGGGAGATATGATATGTGTGTAAGGAAGTAGGAAAGCAGCCAGTAGAAGAGTAGAAATTGAAGATAGGCAAAAGAGTGGGGGTGATAGAGAGGACAATCTGCTGAGAAGGTGGGGTAAGGGGGAGTCACGAGAGGTTTGAGGGGAGGTGAGAAGATTTGGAAGAAAAGCTGCTATGGTGAGTGGGGTGGTGAATTAATAGGCAGCAGGTATAAAAGGGTTGCTTTTGTTGGATAGACTGAACTTTTGCCTTCGCTCTCAGAACATCAGAATCTGGCTTGTGTCTAGTCTTCCCCTAAAAGGAAGAGGGTCCCTAATGTCCATACAAGCACACGCACGCACACACGCATGCACGTGCACACACACAGTACTAAAATGTAGAACAGACTTTATTTAATCTGATGGAAAATGCAAAGCACAAAGAACTTGCGTCATTTGAGGTTATGTAACATAAATTTGTAATGGATCCAGTCATTACGGTTTCATGATTTTCTCCAGCTTCATTCATCAGCACATGTGTAGGAACAAAGGCATCACATAGTGGGATTCATCCCAGGCTGAGGTTTGGCAGTGCGTGATCACTGATATGATAAGGGGTCAAGGAACTTGAGAGACGAAAATAGGCATTGCATATTCCAGTCTGGCCTCTTTGCTGCTCTCTATGTGTGCCATTCCATCTCCCACCACCAGGGCTTTGCACAGGGTATACCCCATTCCTGGAATGCTCTCCCTCCTCACTTGTGCCTCCCTAGCTCCTTCCAGGGATCTAAGGGTCATCTTCTACAAAAGGCTTTTCCTGATCCTCCTTCACCCTGACCCCCAGTTGATAGTCTTCTCCCCCACCTTTGGATTACTTTGTCTTTACTTTGAAAGTATTTGGTAGTTACCTAATCTGTGTATATACTATTGTCCCACTAGTAGAACATAAGCTCCTTGAGGGCAAAATTGTTTTGTTTTTGTCTTTGTAACTGTAGCACCTAGCTCAGTGTCTGGCATATCATTAATCAATATTTATTGGATTGAAATTTAAGTTACCTGCTCATATTCACAACTTTATATTAATAACATCTACTCATTCATCCCAGAAGAAATAAACTCTTTGAGGATAGATATCCTCAGCACCTGGCCTGGTGCCTCACCTGTAATAGGCATTTAACAAAAGCTCCATGAATTGAGTTGAGTTCTCCAAACCAGTGGCCTCCAAACATTTTTTAATCACACACTCTTACAAGTAAAAAAGATTTTAAGCTTGCACTCACAATGTGTGTTCATTAACTTATTTATAAATTCTATATGCAGGTACTATGATACTAATAATGATGTATATTCTTAAACACACAAAAGCAGACATTCAGAATGAGATAGAGAATAATACTTGACCCTAGAATCAATAGAGAGCCACCGAAGTTTATTGAGAAGGGCAGTAACATGATCAGACCTAGGCTTTAGGAAAATTACTTTGTCAGCTGTATGTGGAAGATAGATTTGAGTGCAGAGATAAAGCAGGTAAGCCAATTAGTTGCCAAATCTTGTTGATTCTGTCTCCACATATCCTCTCTGTTGGACGTCATCATCCTTTGCCTGGCCTTTTCAGTAGCGTCCTAATTGGCTATGAGGGATGCAGAAGAATGACTCATCAAGAATATCATCAGGTTATGAGCCCAGGTGACCGGAAGGATGGTGGTATCTGACAACAGTAGGAATTTTCTGCTGAGGGGTAGGTTTGAGAGTAATGATTACATTATGGGATCCTTAACAGATTATAGATCATCCATGCCAATGCCTCTCACTCTGTCCCATCTAAAACAAAAAGGAGGGAGATAGGGCTCTTATTCATAGATCAGTACCCTGGAGGGGATGAGGGGAGGGGGTCGGAGAGGAAGCAAGGACTAGAGTGAGGAATTTTCCCAGTGGCCCCAGGTGCAGTAAGTGGGTGCCAGGATAATGCTCATGCTATGACCGCCTGGGGACGGGATTCAGAAGGGAAGAGGTTGGGAGCTTGCATTGCGGGAGGAGGGGAAGGGGGATCTGGTGTTGGTGTCACAGTTGTTTGCGAGACAGATCCCACGATTGGCTATTGTGGGTTCCGCTGTCGGGCGACCGTCGCCCTGGAGACCCCAGACCCCCACTTTGGAGACTCTGCCGTAAGCCTTCCAGAGTCTTTGCCACTAGATGGCGCCCTGGTGGTTCTGAAGCCTGTGGATTTCATTGGGAAGCACAGTGACGGTTCCCTTTGAGTCCCATAAAGAAATGACCAAAAAAAGCACTTCCTGTATGACATTCTGTGGGGGAGACAACTGTTATCATCTCCATTTTACAGAAGAAGAAATTGTGGCTCAGAGAAATGAAATGATTTCCCTATGGATACACAGTTTTTGTTTGTCCTTCATTCTTAGTTAGGATTGGAACCCAAGTCTTCTGGCTTTAAACTCAATCCCCTTTCCCCCATGCTGTGCTGCATCTCCAATGGTATAAAACTATTTCCTATTTTGAATCTTTTAAAAAAAATAATATTTCATTTTCTCCTCAATTACATGTAAGAACATATTTAACATTCATTTTTTAAAAAAATTGAGTTCCAAATTCTATCCCTTCTTCCCTCCCCTTCCCCCTCCTTGAGACAGTAAGGAATCTGATACAGGTTATGTGATGTAGGTTACATGTGCAATCATGTAAAACATATTTCCATATTAGTCATGTTGTGGAAGAAAACTCAAACAAAAAAATAAAAGAAGGAAGGTGAAAAATAGTATGCTGTGGTCTGTATTCAGATTCTATCAGTTCTTTCTCTGGAGATGGATAGAATTTTTCATTATGAGTCCTTTGGGATTGTCTTGGATTATTGCACTGCTAAGAATAGCTAAATCATTCACAGTTGTTCATTGTACAGTATTGCTATCACTGTGTGCAATGTTCTCCCAGTTCTGCTCATTTCACTCTGCATCCGTTCATGTGAGTTTCCAGGTTTTTCTGAAATCATTCTGCTTGTCATTTCTTATAGCAACTGCTTATAATAATATTCCATTACAATCATATACCTCCTATTTTGAATCTTGAAATGTGCCCTTTGAAAACTCAGTTCCTGGGTCCCTTCCAAAGTGACCTGATATCTAAGCTCATCACCAGAACTAGATGGGCCCAGGTCTCTGGAATTCACCTTACCATTTTCCTTGACACATTTAGGGCCTGTGTGATGTCATCCGGCTGTTGGATCTTTCGACTTGTCCCTCCTACTACAAGTGGATATGGCAGCTGCCGACGCCATTGGAACACAGCCTTCTGGACACTCGGAACTTTGGTAGAGTCATAGAATTGTTAGCTGTGGCTAGGGTGCCCCTGGGCTTCCAAAATCTGACAATGAATAGGCTTAGCAGAAATAAACTCTAGCCTCCTGCCTCGGGCATGGTAGAGTCAGAGAATATTGACAATGAAAGCCCTTAGAGACCATCACAATCAAACCTCTCACAGAACCAGAGTTGTAGAATCTCAGAGCTGTCTGGGACTTCAAATACCATCTAATCCAATCTGTCTTTGACCAAGAATTCAATTTCACAACATTCCCAACCCAGAGATCATTTAACCTTTCCTTGAAGGTTTTCAGGGAGAGGGGAACCCAGTGCCTCCTGAACCATCCCTTTTCACTTTATGGAATTCTCTCTTTTACAGATGGGGAAACTGAGACCCAGAGATAGGTTGATATTTCTCCCAAGGTCACACAGTGAATTAAGGCAAAACCAGAATTAGAACCCAAGTCACTCAACTTCTATTTAACAATTTCTTTCCAACTGTTGTTCTTTTGAGGGGGGTACACAGGAGATATGATCTGTTATATCTATGTTCTTCATTTAAAGCCCTTTACAATTCTATTTCTTGCCTTACATTTCTAGGCTTCTTTCACACTCCTCTTTTTCATGTACTTAACATTCCAGTCAAATTGCCCACCTTGCTATTCCTTGGACTTTGCATGGCAACCAGTGGCACCTCCATGCTTTTGAACAAACTGTCCTTCATGTCTGGAAGGTACTCCTTCCTTCCCTCCATTTCTTTTTTTCTTCTCTTTTTTTTTTTCAGGCAATTGGGATTAAGGGACTTGCCCAGGGTCACACAGCTAGTGAGTGTCAAGTGTTTGGTCTGAGGACGGATTTGAACTCAGATCCTCCCGACTTCAGGGCTTGTGCTCTATCCACTGAGCCACCTAGCTGCCCCCTTCCCTCCACTTCTTAAACGCTTCTTCAAGACAAGTGGTACCTCCCACAGGAAACCTTTTATGACCCCTGCCCCCAATTGCTAGTGTCCTCCTCCCCAAATTGCTTTGTATGTGCTTTGCACTTATTTATATACATGCAATTACCCCCCAGGAGAGTATAAGCTTCTCTTGGTTGTCTCCAACCTCTCACAGAGTTCCTGACCCATAATAAATTCTCCTTTAATTGAGTTTCATTCACCATGTCTGGTTCTCATTCCCTGATTAATTTTTTCTGATCCTTTCATAACTTCTTGGTTCCCTCTCTGGTGACTGAGAGGTAGGATTGTATAGTGGCAAGACATCTGAGCCTCTGTTTCCCCAACTGCAAAATGAAGGGATTGTGCTACACACTCTCTATTATCCCTCTTGATTTGACCCAGAGCCTATACTGTATTTATGAGGGCACTGCATTTCCTCTTGTTCTCTTTTAGAGACAGGTAGAACCTCAAAGCTATATTCTCAGAAGAGCTCTCTCCAGATTAGTTTGGGCCCAGTATTCATTAGCAGCCTCTTCTAGAAATCTGACCAGTTTAGACCATCCCTTCTCCCTTGTAGCTTCCCCCTTGATACATAAACATTCACAGACAAACAGACCTTCTAGTTGGAAATGCAAGAAATGGGACTGGTGCCCGAGGCCCTGACCCAAAAGAGACGCATACACTCACACATAAGAAGAGCAGGGCAGAGAGAGAGTTCTTTAGGATATGAAGTCTTGCACAATCCCCCTTGCCATATGTACGGAGAATCAGTAATCAACAATAATTCCACAGTAGGGCTGTGAAGGGGCCCATTAGAAAATCTCTGAGGCTGATTTTTATCAGCCTCATTGCTTCCGGGTAGGGGCGAGGAATGATCTGCCATTTCTCTCCTGTTGTACACACAGGCAGCTGTTTACAGCTTTTCACATCTGTGACTGAACCCCCTGAGGTTTCTATGCTGAACTACGCTCATCTTCAACTTTAAAGGCCCCCCAGCCTATGGGTGAATGGGACTGAGTCCCAGAATCCCTGATGGCCCTTGCAATGGAGGAAGAGCTATATCTTCCTCCTAAGGTCTTTCTTTGGGTGAATAAGGCCAAGCTTTGGGGGAATCATTAAGCATTTCTCGTGATTTCAACACTCAGGGACCCTTTTTCTTTGTCTTTTCCTTAAAATGATTTTTCCAAATTATAACCTAAATGTCAGCAAAAACCAAATAACCCAAATACCCCTACTCTTACTCTTTAGCCATATCTGTAACAAAAAATTAATTAATAACTGTAACAGTGTCATCAGAGAGATGTATTAGGGTTACTGAAGCATTTTTTTTTTTTTTGGTTAGGCAATTGGGATTAAGTGACTTTCCCAGGGTCACACAGCTAGTAAGTGTCAAGGTCTGAGGTCAGATTTGAACTCAGGTCCTCCTGACCTCAGGGCTGGTGTTCTAAACACTGCACCACCTAGCTATCCCCATGAAGCATTTTTTTTTTTAAAAGCACAGAAAAGAACAGAAGGAAAATCAAAGGAGACGTAGATGAGCAGGTCAACTTTGAAAGTAATATCATCATAATCATCATTGCTAACACTTATATAGCACTTATTATGTACCAGGCATTGTGCTAAGCACTTTACAATCATTATCTCATTTGATCCTCACAACAACTTTGGGAGGTAAGTGCTTTTATTATACCCATTTTACAGATAAAGAAACTGAAGCAAACAAAGGTTAAGTGACTTGCCCAGGGGATCACACAGCTAATAAATGTTTCAGGTTACATTTGAACTCAGGTCTTCCTTACTGCAGACACAGTGTGCTATTCACCATGCCACCTAGCTGCACCTCCCCACTCCCACATTCACATGTTAAATTTATTATATACTAAAAGGAAAAGCAAGCTTATACATAATGGAGATTCAGGGTTTCATGCACAATCCTCTTTATCTGATTTACTTTGTATATGGAAATTTTGGTTCTATTTGGTGTTAAGGTCAGAATAAAGAAAAATTAAAAGAACAAAAATAAAAAGAGAGGTGTTGGGTCAAAGAATAACAAAAAGATGAACTCTATTGTTGCCTCCCAGTGGGGGGAAAGAGAGAGAGGGACAGAGAGGCCTCTAGCAGGTTGGGTGAACAAACCATGTGGAGGATGCCCAGGAGGACATGGACAAGAGTTGAACAGAATTAGTAGGAAGGATGAGTTGCAATCAGCACCAGAGGAGGGAATATGCCTTTTGATGAAAATGGCAATCTGTCAAAGCATCAAAGTATTTATAATAGCTTATTTTCTTCATGTCTCCTTCCCATTTCTGTGCTTGTCTTTTTAAATAGAAAGATTTTTTTTTAACACTTAAAAATTTTAAACTTAACAGTCTTAATGGAAACCCACTCATGCTTTACTTAGAGAAATCTGGTTTTCTCTAACAGAAAGCTCTCCCCGGAAAAGATTTAAAGATTTTCAGCTCAAATCCTTCCCAGTAATGGACTTCAGTAATCTGAAAATGGCACATCTGGAGAAGATTAGGCAGGAAGAAAAATCTTACAGTTCCAAAGACGATCAACACAATTCAACTGGCTTCAAATCCTTGAAATCACAGGACAAGTGAGTAGGGTTTGGGAGATGAGGAAGCTCCAGGCTCAGAGTAGGGGAGGACATGAAATTGTTAGGTCTTTCTTGGGGGAGACAGCTTTTAGTTAGGAAAAGGTGGGAAGTTCCACCTCATCAAAGACGCATCCAGTCCTACAGTCTCAGAGTTAGAAGGGACCTGTGTGAGATCCCATCCAATTGCCCGGCTGCCACTGGTGCCCTCATTACAACAGCGTCTCTGACCTGGGATTTAGCATGTACTATTGAAGTATTGTCCTTGGAACACCATCAGGAGATAATGAACTGGGTGCTGGGGAAATAGAGACTTGCCAATTCAATTAAACATACACTTATTAAATGCCTTTTATGTGCAAAGCACTATGTTAGGTGCTAGGGATATAACACCAAAGTGAAAAATAGTCCAGTTCTCAAGGAAGACCCATCTATTGGCAGGTATATTGTACTGAGTTGGGGTAGGGGTTACAACATTTACACAGATAAGTAAAAACAATACAACCTAAGGCAGGAGAGAAAACTGACACTGAAGGTAATCAGGAAAGGCTTCTCATGGGAAATGACACCTTATCTGAGTGTTGAAGGAGATCAAGAATTCAAAGGAGTAGAGGTTGAGGCAGATGCATTCCAAGTACAGGGACAGCCCTTAAAATGATGTTGTAAGTGTGAGATGGAACACCAAGTTCAGTTAGATGACCATTTTGACTGGAAAGAGTCTGGGAAGGAAAAGGATTCCCCTGCTCTCCCATTTAATTGACTTTTCTTGTTATTCTAGCTACACTGATTTTGTTCACATAAAAACTTTCCATTTTATGTAATCGGAATTGTCTCTTTTATCTTTTATGATCATCTCTATTATTTTGCTTAAGAATTCCTTCCATAGTCATAGTTGTGCTAGTTATGTCCATCTATTCTCTGATTTTTAAAATGATGTGACCTTTTATATTTAGACTGCAGATCCATTCAGAACTTATTATGGTGTATGACGTAAGATGCTGATATAAACTTAATTTCTCTCAAACTGCTTTCCAATTTTTCAAGAAATTTTTGTTGATTTAGGAGTATTTTCCCTACTAGTTTGTGTTCTTGGTTTTATTAAACACTAGGCGTCTATGTTAAATTGCTTGCCTAGTCTGTTCCACTGATCAAATTTTCTATTTTTTGAAACAGAACCAATAGTTTTGGTGATTACTTTTTTATAGTATAGTTTGACATCTGGTCATACCAGGTCCCCTTCATTTCTACCTTCCCCCCCCCTTGAGATGCATAATCTTTTGTTCCTTCTGATGAATTTTTTCATTATTTTATCTAGTTCTAAAAAGCAAACTTTTGGTAGTTTAATTGGTTTGGCACTAAATCTGTAAATCAATTTAGCTAGCATCATCATTTTTCTTATATAGGTATGGCTAAACCATGAAATAGAAGAATCTCTTCAATTATTTGCCTTCCTTTCTTTTTATAAAGAAGGGTATTATTTTTGTAATAGTAGTCATAGAAAACCCAACTATGTCTTAGTGATTTCAGGTACCGTTAAGCCATTTTTATTCTGGCATTTCCAGTTTAAAGATGATTTTCTTTGACAAAGAAAACAAGCGAAAAATAAGAATCATGTAGTTCAGCCTTCTCTGTATCATCGTATTATCAGTGCCTTGGGCAGCAGGCTCCTATCTTTTCTTGGATCCTCCTCTTTCCCTCAGGGATAGCTTAAAAACTGTCCTAGTGGAGAATAGTGATTGTTTATGCTGCCAAACATGGTTGATGTGTTGGCTAATTTTACTGAACTGCATTTTTTGCCTTTCTATTTGATTTTTGTTCCAAGGAACAGCTTGCTGTATGTGAGAGTAGGGAGAGATTATATTTGAAAATTATTGTGATTATTTGAAAATTAATGTGATATGAAAACAAAAGATATCAACAAAAAAGGAGATGAGAAGTTTTTTGTCTTTATCACTCTTCATCACAGCTCATTCTTCATGTCATTAGGATTTCTGACATCCTTATAGGACTTACCTTTCTTTTGTATTTATCCTCTATTACCCGCCCTTGCTTCCTTCTTTTAAAATTTTTATTGATATCTTTTATTTTTTACATGTCCTTTTAAAGCATAAGTTGGAGTCAGAGTGCAGACTAATGCATACATATGTGTGTGTATGTACGTATGTATAGAGCGAGGGAGAGATGAACAATCCATTTCTCCATTTCTGGGCTCTAGGCATTTTCTCTGCTCTCTCCCATGGCTGGAATGCTCTCCCTCCTCCACTCCAACTACTGACCTCCCTGACTTAAAGTCCCAACTAAAATTGCACCTTCTACAGGAAGCCTTCCCTAACTCCTCTTAATTCTATTGCTTTCCCTCTTTTAATTATTTCCTACTTATCCTGTTTATAACTTACTTTGTACATATTTGCTTGCATGCTGTCTCTTCCGTTAGACTGTAAGCTCCTTGAGGGCAGGAACTGTCTTTTGGCTCTTTTTGTATTCCCAGCACCTAGAACTATACATGGCACATAGTAGGCATGGAATCAATGTTTTGAATTGAATTGAAAGGTGGGAATTTGTTTTGCTTGATTATTTATGCTTATAAAGAAGGGTTTTGTTTTTCTTGCTTTTTCAGAAGGGGGTGAGAGAAAAGGTGGATTTTTGCTAGAAAAAAATTAATAAAAACAATAAATTAGAAGTTGGTGAGTTCCCTGTGTATCCACATTGATCCTTTTTATTGACCTGCCCTTTTCCTCCCCACCAAAATCGTTTATGTGTATGTCTTTAGAGTTTCTTCTTTTATTTTTTTCTCATCTCTCTAGGTCTAACATTCTCTGTGGAATTTTAAGATATGATATCTGACCTATCACTTCCTCAACCCTTTAAAATCTGATCTCCAAAAATCAAGAGTACATTTCAGATTATATCTAGTTTTCCTGGTCTCTATCACAGATTCCAGAATGGATTGAGTCACTTTCCCTCAAGGTTCCTATCATCTCTACTTCAGTTACCAGTGCTTTGTCAGAGTTGGGTTCAGAATGATGGCTCCTCTGGTTACTTTCTCTACGTTTTTAAGGATGAAATTGTCATCAAGCAAGCTAAGAGATTATTATCTGCTTACCTTTTGCCAGAGAGAGAGAGAGAGAGAGAGAGAGAGAGAGAGGGAGAGAGAGAGAGAGAAAGAAAGAGAAAGAGAGAGAGAGAGAAAGAGAAAGAGACAGAGATAGAGATAGAGAGAGAGAGAGAGAAAGAGAGAGACAGAGAAAGAGAGAGAAAAAGAGAGAGAGAGAGAAAGAGAGAGAGAAAGAGAAAGAGAGATCCAACAGATAACCAGATAATTAGTCTCCCATCGCTACTATATCATACCTTTGTGATAGGCTTGTGACCTGTTTCCTAAACTTATGTCTTTCCTCTGTCAGAATTTGCTAACTATATTCCTGTGACAAGATCACTAATCAACAGTAGCTCCCTCCTTCCATTGTTCTGAAATTCTGATAGATTGTAAGCTACTTGAGGGCAAGACTGTTTCATTTTTTTTTATCCTCTTTCAGAAAGATCCCCAGAAGCAGCTAGGTGGCCAAGTGGATAGAGCATTGGTCCTGAAGTCAGGACCACCTGAGCTCAAATCTGGAATCAGCCACTTATTAGCTACGTTACTCTAGGCAAATCACTTAAGCTTTGTTTGCCTCAGTTTCCACATCTGTAAAATAGGAAAAATAATAGCATTTAGATTTCAGGGTTATTGTAAGGATCAAATGAAATAGTATTTGTAAAATGCTTACTTAGCATAGTGCATGGCACGTAGTAGGTGCTCAATAAGTGCTTGTTTCCTTCCCTTCCTTTCCAGAGTCTTACAGCTAAGTGTCTGAGGCTGATTCCAAGCCCAATGCTCTATCCACTGTGTCACCTAGCTGCCCTGGAGTTAGGAAGAGCTGAGTTCAAATCATAGCACTTGGTACATAGCTGCCTAATAAACACTTGTTGATGCTATACCTAATGTTCTCCATTATCCTTTCTTCTACTAGTTCCTGGATTCCCTATATGTGTATATTTTCCTAATATAAAATGCTATTCTACCCCCCTTCTTTTCTCTATTCTGTTCCTTTTGAATAAGGAAGGGCAAGCTGGGGACCCTTCCTAGAGGCATATTCCAGTTACAGTTCCCATTCTACCATGTATGATGGATACCCATGAGGTCAAATTTGCCTCCTTATGTTATGATTTCTAGTTTGCTTTGCTTGTCACCAATACTTTGTGCATCGGTGAACAGACATTTGAGGCCATAGGTTTTATTTCTGTCTCTTCCCTTGAATTTTGTCTCCTGGGAATTTCTGGGCATCTCTACTGTTATTCTTCCTACCTTGTAATTATATTCAATTGTATTTATCTGTACTAGACATACGTAGGCATTTTTCTTCCCTCTTTCCTTTTTAGTTTAAAGCCCTTTTAATTCAATTTGCAAAACTCAGGGAACACACATGCACACACACACACACACACACACACACACACACAGAGCCCTCATGAGGTGTATTCCATTCCTGGACAACATCCCATACTTCCTACATCTTAAACTGTCATCCAGAAGTCTCTTCTTTTTAAGAAGTTGGTGTCTGAGGACAGCTATTGGATTTCTGGAGCCAGCATCAGTGGTTTGCTTCCCAAATCTTATCAATTTTGTCTTAAGCCCTTGTCTTCATTTGGCATCAGGGTTAAAAACACCTCCTTGTGCCTAAAAGGTCTTCATTTTCTTGCTCAGAATTGCCCATTCGTTAACAGTTCTTCCTGCATTGCTCCTGGTAGTATCATGTTTCCATGTGAATCTCCAGAAGTAATCTTTGTAGGTAGTAATCTTTGTGTTTGATAATCCAGGTAATAATCTTTGTGTTTGATAATCCAAGCAGTAATCTTTGTGTTTGATAAGCCTTGGGAGATTTTCCTGATCCAATTGTCCAGGAAAAAATTTTTTTTCCTATCACATCATGGCTACCTTTTCTTTATCTGAGGAAATTAAAGGAGAATTTTGGAGAACAATTCAGAATTTTCTCGTACATGTTTACAAGGATATTGTTTTCCCCACTTACAGACTAGGAAAATGAAACACACCAAGGAGAAGTGACTCCATGACTTCTGGATTTTTATTGTTGAGGGACAAAGTGATAGAGTTAAAGGCAATGAGTTACAGTGGGAAAGAAGTGGGGGAATGTGGAGTCAGCTGAGCCTTTAGTTTGAATCCTGGCTCCAAAACTTACTAGTTGTGTGACCTTGGGTAAATCACTTCATCTTTTAGAGCTTCAATTTCCTATTCTACAAAATGGAAATAAAAATGCTTATAATGGCAACTGTATTGGACGGTTGTGAGGAAAGCACTTTGGAACCTTAAGGCAATTGATCAATCAATCGACAAGCTTTTATTACATGTCAGGCACTGTGCTAGGAGTTAGGAAATGGGAATTATGATTATTATAACAATGACTTCACTCTAATCTTCTCCTGATGACTCATCATTGCATACACGTGACCCCAGGTTCTTGAAAGCTGTAATAACTGGCTAGCATTTATAAAGAGCTTTTAAGATTTGCAAAACACTGTATGTAAGTTATCTCATTTGATTCCAACAACACCACAAGGCAGGTCTTATTATTTTCTCCATTTTACAGATGAGGAAACTGAGCTTGAGTGAGGCTAGGTGACTCACCCAGAATCATGGCAGCTAGTAAATGTCTGAGGCAAGATTTGAACTCAGCTCTTCCTGACTCCAGGGCAGCTGGGTGACACAGTGGACAGATCATTGGGCTTGGAATCAGCCTCAGACACTTAGCTGTATGACCCTGGAAAAGTCACTTAACCTTGTTTGCCTCAGTTTCCTCATGTGTAAAATGAGCTGGAGAAAGCAATAGCAAACCTCTCCAGTATCTCTGCCAAGAAAGCCCCATTACGGGGTCGTGAAGAGTTGGACATTACTGAAATGACTGAACGACTTCCTGATGCCAGGTCCAATGTGCCACCTAGCCATGCCAATGGAGCATTGCATTGAATATAAGCCATATGAACTTATCCTTGTTCTCTTCTGCTGACAGAATGGCAGAATCTATGTCACTTTTGTCTTTGTAATCCTAGCTCCTGAATAAATGATTATTGATCTTTTGATGATTAATAATTTGTTGCTGTTGTTGTTCAGTCCTTTCAGTCTTGTCTGACTTTTTATGACCCCATTTGGGGTTTTCTTGGCAGAGATACTGGAGAGGTTTGTGATTTCTTTCTCAAGTTCATTTTACAGATGAGGAAACTGAGGCAAAGAAGGTTAAGTGACTTGCTCAGGGTCACACAAGTAGTAAGTGTCTGAGGCTGGATCTGAACTCAGGAAGACAAGTCTTCCCGATTCCAGGCCTAGCACTCTTATCCATTCACCATCTAGTAGCCCTGATGATTAATAATAATTATTACTCCTTTGGTTAAATTTTTAAAAATTGCCCTCAAGGAACTTACGTTCTGCAATAGAATGCAAAATTTGCATAGTGAAATACAAGGTAATTTGAGTAGACACTTCTAACTCTGAGTACTATGAAGCAAGAAACACAGCTCTGTTTCCTCGGGCTATGCATGGAAATGGATTCTTTATGGTGAACTCAGTCTGCTAACTCTGGGTAAGTGGGAATTCTCCTGGAAGCAGGGGAGGGTGAGTGATTAATAAAGATTTCTTAATAAATACTTGTTGATTGAGTCCCCTAAGGTTCTCACCTCCTTCTGGGACATCGTAGGGGGACATTCAGGTTTCAGTGATGCTGATCTCTCACGAGAGGTTCCCTGAATCCTTCTATTTTTAGATGCTTCAGGATCGGCGCTAACTCTTGTCCCATCTCTTGCCCCATGGTGATGACGCAGTTCGGACCACTCCCAAAGGATGCTGTGGTGGGCGTCTATGTGAAGGTTCACCGCCTGGAGCCAGGCGACATTCTGGTGAAGTATTTACCAAAGTCCTTGGGTCCAGCTACCGGTAACACGGCGCTGTTTATAATTGTAAATTATGGAACCTGACAGACAGCAGAGCCCCGCACTGTGGAAAGCGCACTGGATTTAGTCGCTGGGCTAGGTTTCAAGATCCAGCTTGCTAATTAGGCGTGTGACCTCAGAAGCCACCTTCCCATTCTAAGCCTCAGCTTTTTTCATCTGTAAAATCTTAATAATAATAACAATACTTTTCACACTGCCCACTTCACAGGGTTTTTATGAGAAAAGATGCTTTGCAAACTTTATGAAATGCTCTATAAATGTAAATTATTATTATTATTATTACACATCTGAATGAGCTATGTCCCCTTCGAAGTTCCCCCCTCTGCCTGCTAGGAAGCCACACCCTCAGGAGGACTCCCGCAGTCAGAGAATTCTGTTGTTTGTGATTTGGGGTGACAATCTCTCTTTCTCTAGGGCCTGCACCAACACTTCGTGCCTGACAATTTACAGGATAAGCGAAATATGATATTGGTGAGCCGAGGAGCCACACTTATTCGCATGAAAAAGGACATGTTTGATGGATTCGTGGATGCTGAGACCAAAGGAAAAGTGAAAGAATTGCAGATTGCCTATCCCAGGTCAGTGTTGGGAATGGATTGTGACAACCCATGAAGTCATCCTGGGGACCAGCAAGATATGTTGTTGTTATTCAGTCATTTTCAGTTGCGTCCTATTCTTTGTGACATCTTTTTGGGGTTTTCTTGGCAGAGATATTGTAGTGGTTTGCCATTTCCTTGTCTAGCTCATTTAACAGATAAGGAAACTGAGGCCAACAGGGTTAAGTGACTTGCCCAGGGTCACCCAGCCAGTAAGTATCTGAGGCTGCATTTGAATTCAGGTCTTCCTGACTCCAGGCCCAGTGCTCTATCCACTGTTCTACCTAGCTGTCCCATGAAGTGCTACAGATAAATATGTGAGTTATTAACTTTCTGAAAACGTGACCCAGAACAGGTACAGTCTTTTAACAAAGGTGTAACTATTAGACCTTGGGAATCATTTGCTTGCTTTCTCTCTCAGCCTGTTTCTTCATCTGTAAAATGAGGAGTTTTGATTAGATAAATTAATCAATCAAGTACTTATTAAGGGTTGTGCTTAGGTGCTGGGGATACAAAGAAAAAAATGAACTAGTTCCTACTCTTGAAGAATTTGAAGTCTATTGAGGGAAATACATATTTATTTATATAACTATTCACAAAATATATCCAAAATAAATATAAGGTAATTTAGTGGAGGGAGAAGGAAGAAAACAAGCATTTATTAAATGCCTATTACTATATGTCAGGCACTGTGCTTTACAAATATTATTTCATTTGATCTTCATAACAACCCTGGGAGGTATTATCACCCCCATTTTGCAGTTGCAAGAACTGAGGCAGACAGAACTTGTAACTTGTAAGTAACTTGGCCAGGGTAACATAGTTATTAAATGTCTTAGGCTGGATTTGAACTCAGATCTTCTCAACACTAAGGGGCAGCTAGATGGCAAAGTAGATAGACTGCTGGGTCTGGAGTCAAGAAGATTCAATTTCCCGAGTTCAAGTCTGGCCTCAGATACTGACCCTGGACAAGTCACTTCACCCTATTTGCCTCAGTTTTCTTGTCTGTAAAGTGAGCCGGAGAAGGAAATGGCAACCCATTCCAGTATCTTTGCCAAGAAAACCCCAAATGGGGTCATAAAGAGTCAGGCATGACTGAACACACACACACACACACACACACACACACACACACACGCTTCTTGACTCTAGGCCCTATGGTCTATACTGCAATACTTAGCTACATCAGGCTTATTTTGGGGGGAGGAGGGGTTGGAAATCAGGAAAGACCTCATGTAGGAGATAGTGTTTGAATTGAGCTTTGAAGGAAATTGAATTTGAAAGAATTTGAAGAGGCAGAAATCAAGAGGGAATACATTCCAGCCATGAGGGACTGCCAGTACAAGAGCACAAAATTGAGAGAAGAAGTGTTATGCATGAGAACTAGCAAAAAGAGCAGTTTGGTTGGAATTTAGAATGTCTTAAAGGGAATAATTTATAAGAAAGCTGGAAAGGTCAGTTGGAATCAGGTTGTAAATAACTTTGAAAATAGAACAGTTTGTATTTCATCCTAGAGGTAATAGTGGACCACTGGAGTTTATTGAGTAGGGGAGTGACCTGGTCATACCTCTGCTTTAGGAAAATCACTTGGGTAGCTGTATGGAGGATAGATCAAGGAAGGGAGAGACCTAAAGCAGGAGGATCAGTTTGGCAGCTATTACTGTCAAAAAGGTGATGTGATAAAGTAGGGTAATGGCTATGAAAGTAGAGAGGAAACAAATACAGGAAATGTTAAGGGATATAGAATCAACAAGACTTGGCAACTGGTTTGATATATCAGGGATGAGGCTGAAGTTGTGAACCTGGGTGACTGGAAAGATGCTGGTACTCCAGACAGAAACAGCAAAGTTTGGAAGAAGGTGGGATTTTGAGGGGAGGAAATAATGAGTTTCGTTTTGGACTTAGTGGAATTTGAGATGTCTATGGGACATCCAGTTCTAAACATCCATATATATATATATATATATATATATATATATATATATGTATGAATCATGTACAAAGAGATGAAAATTAAACCCATAGGAGCTGATGAAGTGAGGGAGAGAGGAGGTAAGAGGAGAGATAGAGAGAAAGAGAGAGAGAGAGAGAGAGTATAGAGTGAAAAGAGAAGACAACGGAGGGTAGAGCCTTGGGATACGGTTCCGCTTAGGGAGTGTGATCTAAGTGATCCAACTAAAGAGACTGAGGAGAAGTCAGTCAAGTAGGAAGAGAACCAAGGGAGAATATTGTAAGGAAACAAAACCAAAACCCAGAGAGGATAATATCCAGGAGGAGAGGGTAGTCACCAGTGTTAAATGCTGCATTCTGGAGGATGAGGATGGATAAAAGATCATTAGGTTTGTTAATGAAGAGATCGCTGGCAACTTCGGAAAGAGTATTTTTCAATTGAGTTATGAGTTTGGAAGCCAGATTGCAAGAGACAGGGAATTGAGTGAGTGGGTGGAGAAGAAATAGAGGCACTAAGGATAGAGGCAGCTTTTCCTAGTTTGGCTGTGAAAGGACTGAGAACCCAGGATGAGCTCAGGGGAGATGGTATGTTCAAGTGAGAAGCTGACCATCTAACTCTAAAATTCCATGATTTGGTGACGAGAGGACCTAAATGCTCTATAAATCCAGCTCTGGACCCTTTCCTAAGCTCCAGGCCCAATCAATTAATGTATTTATTAGGTGCTACTATATGCCTAGCACTGTGTTTATTGCTGGGGTTAGAAGACAAACATTAAACAGTCCCTGCCCTCAAGGAGCTAACATTCTAAAGTAGGAGGCTAGAGTTTTCCAGAGTTTTTTTTTTTTTCACATTACTTACCTTCATGCAGTCTACATTTTGGTCAAAATGTCTTACTTCAGCAATTCTCAAACTTTTTGGTCTCAAGATTTGTTGTTGTTCTTTCGCTTTTCGGTTCTGTCCAACTCGTCATGATTCCATTTGGGGTTTTCTTGGCAAAGATATTGGAGTGGTTTGCCATTTCCTTCTCCAGTTCATTTTTTTTTTTACAGATGAGGTAATCGAGGCAAATAGGGTTAAGTGAGTTGCCCAGGGTCACACAGCAAGCTGGTAAGTATCTGAGGCCAGATTTGAACCCAAGGGACTTGAGTTTTCCTGACTTCAGGCCCAGCACTTTATTCACTGTGCCACCTAGCTGCCCCTAGACCCTTTTATCCTCTTAAAAGATCCCAAAGAGTTTTTGCTTATGTGGGTTACATCTATTGATGTTTACCCTATTAAAAGTTAAAACTGACAGAAATTTAAAATACTTATTAATTCATTAAAAACAATTAAAAAACCCACTACATGTTAACAATAACTTTTTATGAAAATATATTTTCCAAAACAATAAAATTTAGTGAGAACAATGGCATTGTACATATTTTTGCAAATCTCTTTCATGTCTGGCTTAATAGCAGACAGTTGGATTGTCCTATCTGCTTCTGGGTTCAATCTGTTACAATATGTTGTCTGGAAGTATATAAAGAAAATCTGGCCTCACATAGACATGTAGTAGAAAAGGGAGAAGTATTTTAATAGGAAAATAACATCTTAGTACTGCTAAGAAAATAATTTTGACCTCAAAGACTCATTGAAGGGTCTGGGAATCCCCAGGGATCCTGAGACCACACTTTGAGAATGCAACCTACCCGCCATGTTTCCTGAAGTTGGAATTCACAGATTCACAAAATTTGGAAGTTGGAAGGAACTTCAGTTGCTCTCTAGTCCAATCTATACCCCAACTATTACATATTTGACAAATGGTCATTTATCTTTGCTTGAAGACCTCCAACAAGGGGGAATCCACACTTCTCAAGGCAGCCCAAATAATAACTAATAACCCTAATAATAATAATAATAACTGATAGTCCAAATTTATAGAATAACAGCATTCAGGTCAGAGAGCAGCTATCCTCTTCATTTTATAAAGGAATCAAACTACAGGTACCATTCCAAAATATAAAACACTTCTATATAATATTTTCCTAAATCACAACATTAAAAAAACCCTTAGAAATATGACATTAACTTAAAAATCTCATGTACTTAAAACATAAGCACAAAACAAAACTTATACCTGGTTCAATAATATTCACCCAATGGAATGCATCTCCAAATCATTTTACACAGAAAAACCATTCCAATAACCTATGAAATTTGGGACTCTAAGTTATTATTTCCAATTTACTCTGTATCTAGCTTGTTTAATTATTGTTTTCCTTATTCAATTTTGAGCTTTTGCTTCTTTTTTTGTATCCAGTACAGTGCCTGTCACACAGTAGGCATCTTTAATAAATGTTTAGTGAATTACTGACTAGTTGCATTCAGAATATAGAGCAGGTACTACTTCTGCTCTCTAAGCTACAAAGAATGTGTGGTACCAGCAGTTGCCATTCAGAGCCCAAGTCAACTCTGCTGCAAATAATAATTGTCCCCAATTAATTTATCAAACCCAATATAAACCCAAATTTTAAATTGTTCTATTTTAAAGGTTGCTACATGATTCTTGCTACTTTTCTACATCCACAAGAATACCAGAACTTGTGAAATTAAACTTGGAAATCATTAGCAATAACTAACTCCAAGTCCCTAAGGAAGAAATATGCATTTCTTCAAGTCGAGTTCACAGTTTTGCAGGCATGCCAATCTCACTATTCTCTTATTTCAATGGGATCTTGCAAAACTTACACTGCCAATCTCTGTAATCCTGAAATTTTATTTTTCCTCTGCTGTTTTCCTAACTTGGTCCTTGCTGGAGATTCTGATACTGGCAAAAATGAGGACTTTGTCACGGTTTCCATTGAAGTAAAAACTTCCTAGTTCTATTTCCTACCTTTAGGGAATCTGAAACTGACTTAACTCACCTGACTTCTAAATGAATTAATACCACTATATGCAGTTGAAATGTCAGATTTTTTTTTTTTGCTTTTCAGAGCACCTTTACACACTTCTCACTGCCTTTTAATCAAGCCTCAAACCAACACTGTGTCAGTATAAAAACTATCTCTAATTTCTTTTTTATTTTAGTTACTGATCCTGATTAACCCAGACTGATCTTTGCAAATTTTAGAACTGCATCTCTTTGCATTGACTCAGTATTTCACTTTCTAAGGCTATTAATTTCGTAACCTCAAACTTCGATGCTTTCAAATAATTTTTCAAATGGTTTTGAGATTGAGTTTCCTTTTTTTCTCCATTGCATCTTTTGCAAATTAGCAAAATTTTCTCATGGCTCTCAAATTCATGGTAAATTCATCTTTTGATCAGAGTTGAAACTTCCAGGTTTATAGAGAATTTCTCATTTTGCCTGGTAAAACACTTCCAATTTAGTTTCTTATTTAAAAACTTGCAAATGTACAGTCTATCCTAATTCCTTTTAAGTTATTTTGCTTCCTAATTTGCCTAGGCAATTATATTCTGCCAAATCATTGAGAAGCTCATAGTGGTCAGGCAAACTCTGACCAGCTCCTAAAATGAAATTTTGCCTTTTTTCCCCAAATTATTTCACTCACCTTTTCTGAGGCAAATTTTCCCTTACTTAAGATGGTTTTAACAAAAGAATCTAATATTCAAGCATTTATAACAGAGAGAGAGAGAGAGAAAGAGAGAGAAGATATTTTAACTGGCATAGTCCCCTATGCCCTCCGACATGGTTTTCTATCCCAAGATGATTTGAGGTAATATTTGTAGGAATTGTGAATACGAAAAAAAATCACAATATGTAAAAAAAATACAGTTTGTTGAATAACCAAGCCATGGTCCCATCCCTCTTGGATCACCCATTCCCCCACTCCTGGAGTAAAACAAAGGGACTTCCTCCCTGCAATAGATATTGATATTCTTTCCCATTGGAGAAAGATGGTCATGACTTCAATCACTTCAGGTGTTTGGGGAATGAGTGATGTTCACAAGAGCAGAGTTAACTCTTTGTTGAAAAAAAAAAAAGAAATACCATGAAATCCATTTCCCTTTTTGGCTTTGATCTATTACCCACTTTTCCAAGGGCTTTTTCTGGGAATGTAGAAGGGGCTTTCGAGAAAAATATTATTTCTTAATATTTCAGTTTTACTCAAGAGGAAGTTTTTAATATGCCTCAGTCCTGGCTGCCTCGAATAAAGCATGTATGTTGTGTCTTCCTTTGATCTCCTTATGGGTAAATGCTGGGACTTAGTAAGGAGCAAGCTAGCCACAAAGAATTTTAGAATGGAGCTAAAAATCTCTCAGAATCATAGATTAGAGTCAGAAGGGACCTCAGAGATAATTTGGTTCTACTTCCTCTTTTTATAGTTGAGGAAAATGAGGACCAGAGGGGTAAAGTCACTCACTCAAGGTCACACTGGTAGTAAATGGCCAACCCAACCATGGTTGAATCAGTGAAAAGTAATAAATGGCCAATCCAACCACAGTTGGGTCAGACTCCAGGTTGAGCACACTTCACACTAACCTGCCAATGGGAACCCTTAGTGGTCTCAGGTCCCAAATTCCTGATGAACTCTAGACCTATTATTCCTGTATAAAAAGAGCTGCACAGGTAGACTCTGTCCTATTCCCTCCTTCTCCCATCCTCCCCCACCCTTTTTTACGAGCTCAACACACATCACTTGCTATTGGCTGGATCATCAGGGTTCAAGGACTGTCCAGTACTCTAGGATAGATCACAAAGTGGGGTCAGTTCCATTTCCAAGAATATGGTGACCAAGAAAGTTCATTCTGCCATCTCTAAGGTACCTAACTGTCAAACAAAATGCTCTCTTGTTGGATGACTCATTTGCTTCAGGTAAAAAGGGCATCCCAGGACCATGATCACCTTTTAAAATGTCTCAAATGAGATAATATTTGTAAAGCACTTAGCATAGTGCCTGGCACATAGTAGGCACTTCATAAATGCTTATTCTCTCCCTCCCTATTGCCATGTGCATCTGCTTGTGGTCCTCTATGACTTGCAGATCTCTGCTCTTTTCCAAGTTGATCTCATACTTAAGCTTTTTCTATTCTGTCTTCTCTACAATTATACACATGAATCTCTTGGGAAAGTGCTGGTTTGGGGGGGAGAGGGCTCCCTAGGTAAATCCTGATGCTTGTTTGCTATTGCTTCCAAATGGGGCATCCCCTTCTTCACCTTTCAGCTGCTAGTCCAAATTTCTCTTCAGTTCTAGGTGGGACTCTACTCCCCTCCCCACTCCTGAACCCTGTTAGCTTTTTGGCCAGACTTCTAGCTTCCAGCATCCTCTTGCCCCATGAAGAGAAGGAGATGAATGAAGGTGGGTCCCTAGAGTTCTGAGTTGTGTCCTACCAAATAGCTCCCCTGCTTGCTGTGCAACCCAGAGTGTCTACCAGCTGTCCTTACAAAGGTTTTGTGTCTCCCTTTTAGTGATGATACTATATGCCAGAAGATCTTGAGAGAAAATTCGTGGAACATTTTCCGGAAGGACCTACTGAAACTCTTGACAAAATTTCCTCCCTATGAGATGTTCACTGCATTCCGGACCCAAAAAAAGTGTCTCTATTCACCTTTGTCTGGGGTTCTGGACCTGAAGAGTTTAGGGAAGGAACCAAAAGTCTCATACCCTATCTTTAATGCAAAAGAAGATGTTCCAAAAAAGCTTCTTCCCCCCCTGAGAGTGGTGGACAGCATCTCTGCTCCCAGGTACCGACTGAAGGAACTTATGCCTAAATATAAGAGTTCTGGCACTTTCCTCTGAAGCTAAGGAAATCAAGACAGCAGCAGCATTGCTGAAGGTGGGCGCCAAAGCCCTCTGCATGGGCTTCCACAAGCAGGACAGAGGTCTGGAAAGGCCATGGAGACTTGTGCCGTTGAACCAAACAATTATTGGGTGTTGGCCAGCACAAACATTCATAACTATTGTCATGCCTCTTTCTTCAATTATCAGAGCCAGGGTATACAAAAAGGGCCCTGCCTCTAGCTTACCCTTAGTTGGAAATTCTCCAGTACCTTTATGCAGTTTTCATGCCTGGTTTCGTAGCAGACAGAAGTTGAAGAGGAAGAAAAAGAAATGGCCTTGGCTTTGGAAGAGATCTTAGATGTCCAACGTTGAGAGGCAGGGCCAGGATTGGAAACCAGGTCTTCCAATTCCAAAACCAGTTCCTCTTCCTTGTGGGAGATCCCTTCTGCACACTGACACAAAAGGGAAAAAAAAGGAAAGATAATTGAGGCAAAAGAGGGTATTTTTAGGGAATGTTTCTTATCTTAAAGCTACTTGACTTTTTCTCTAAAATGTGGGATATAATTATGGTCATCACACTGTCTTCTGCCCTGGCCAGGTCCTACCTGGAGTATATTATATTCAGTTCTGGCACCACATTGTAGGAAAAAGCATTGATATAAGAGGAGGAAAAAATGATGAAACTGTCCTCTGAGTATGGGATGAAGGAACTGGGCTATAGATTATAGATGATTGATTTAGAACTCGAAGGAGCCTTAGAAACCATTAAGTCCAACCTCTCATTTTACAATTGAGGAAACTGAGGCACGGTGAGGATAAGTGACTTTGCTCAGAGTTACACAACTAGTAAATATTTGAGGCAAGATTTGAACCCAGGTCTTCTTAACTCCAAGTCTAGTACTCTCTCCACTGTGCCACCTTGATATCAGTGATTAGAAAGAGGATGGTTAACTTACAGAAGGGAAGGTTTAGGAGGTGAGGAAGATAATGATGGCTGTCTTTAAGTATTTGAAGGGTTGTCCTACAGTACCAGAGTACAGAATTAGGAACAGTGGGGGAAATTGTAGTGAGGTAGATTTCTGTTCAACGTAAGGAAGAACATCTCCAGAACTGACCGTCTTAGAGCAAGTCAACCCCCCATAGTTAGGATGTTCAAAAGTTCAAAAGTGTTCAAAGGTTGAATGACCCTCCCCAGAGTTTTCCCATAAAGGAGATTCCTTCAATTAATGGGAGGCGAGGTTGTGGAAAAAGCGCTAACTCAAGAATTCAGAGGACCTCTCATCTCTGACACTTCACCTCCCTGTGCTTGAGTTTCTTCATCTGTACAATGAGGGGACTGGACTCGGTGGTCTCTGAAATCCTTTCCCAGTCTGGATCTCTGTCATCACGATCCTTCTAATGGTCTTCGAAGTTGTGAGAGTCTGGGCCATCCTCTCTCTTCTCATTCCCTCTCCTGGGAGCTCATTGGGGAAAAATCTGAGGGAAAAAATCCAGAAGTGAAGAAAGACAGAGCTATAGTTTGGACGTGATCAAAGGTCTGGAAAACAACTCTTGCGTTCAGGGTGGGGTATGGGGTGCCTGCGTCTAAGCAGTAGCTGTGTTGGTCCCTGATGATGGTGGGGAAGCCAGGGAGCTGAGGAGGAGGACCCAGGATGGGGACCTTTGTGCAGCTTTTGGGATACAAATGGGGAGATATTTCTCTTTCTGCTCACAAGCCCACAAGATCTGAGAGCTGGGAGGGACCTCAGCGGCAGTCTAGGCCAAGCCATCCACGAAAGGAATCTTGACTATGACGTCCCCACCAAGGGATCACCCTGCCTCTGCTTGAAGACCTCCAAGGAGCTAGTGATCTTTCCAAGCATCCCCCTCCATTTTTGCAGTTCTAGTTGTTATGTATTTTCTCACAACAAGCCTGAAATCGCTTCTTTATAGCTTCCACCCATTGCTTCTGGTTGTCCTTTGGGATCGAGCAGAGCAAATTTAATCCTTCCTTCCCCAGGACGGCCCCTCACTTACTTGAAAAGAGCTCCTATGTGCCCCTTGGGTCCTCTCTTATCCAAGCTTGAACACCCCCTATTCCTTCCACCTATTCTCCAGCAAAATTGATTCTTAGGGCAGAAGGGCAAGGAGGCCTGGAGAAATAGGGGATTGAGAGGAAGGGGAAATGGAACAATTAAGCACCTACAACATGTGAAGCACTGTGCTAAGCACTTTACACACATCTCATTTGGGAACTCATATGATGTCAATAAAAAGTCTTGACTTAGGAGTCAGGAGATCTGACTTAAAAGAATGGTAATGAGCTCAGTAGTGAGCCATAGTTTCCAGGAGGGGCTCATGCCCATTGCCTTCTCTGGTCCACACAGGAAGCCTGGGAGGTCCACAAAGTAGGTCTGACGGCAGTGAACACATTTCTATGGCATGTGAAGTTTTACAAAATGTTTTTCTCACAAACAATTCCAAGAAGTAGAAAGAGTATTATCATGCTCATTTTACAAGTGAGGAAACAGGTTCATCAAGATGAAGTCTCTTGCCCTAGGTCATCTGCCTAGTAATTGTCTAAATGGGGTGGGGCTGGGGACTCAAATCTAGGTCTTTTAGTTCTTAAGACCAAGGCCTACTGCACCATGCTGCCTTAAATCCAGCTTGCTTATTGCAGTGTCTAACCTGACATTCGCCATCCCTCCAATGAGCAGACACCACAGGCCTTTTTTCACACCAACTGTTGCCTAGCAAGTCTTGTCTATCCTGTACCTGTATAATTGATTTTTTTAAACCCAGGGCTAGGTCTTAACAATTATCTCCATGAATTTTTTGTATTAGATTATTATACTATTAATACTAAATTCTTCATTTTAGAAACATTTTTATTTATCATTATTCTAATCCAAGCATCATTCTTAGAGTACCCGCAGTTTCAAGATTCTACTGACGCTACAAGGCTGTGACCAAGTGTTACTGAGTATTAGGCATCACAGTATGGTAGAGAGGGCACTGGAATTAGAGACAGGAAGACTTGGGTTCAAAAGCCACTGCAGGTGTTGTGTGACCCTGGGTAGGTCCCTTAGCCCCTCTAAATCTGTTTCCTAATCTATAAAATGAAGATAACAGCAGCTACCTCACAGGACTATTGTGAAGATCAAATGAGATAATATATGGTAAGTACATTTGGCAAACTTTGAAGAATTATATAAATGTCAGATGCTATTATTATTACCAAATCCATGCCAACTCAGTCCTCTTATGTCCTCTCATATAGCATGCCAAGAACAAATTCTTCATCTTGCATGAATCTGTTTGGAGAACTGGTCAGGGTCCTCCTTTAGTCTTTCTATGGGGAGAAAGCCTTCTTTAATAGCCCCTCACAGGATCTTCGCCTCTTAGAGGAGGGCATCCAGTCCTACCTTCTCCTCTAAAACACCCTGGCAGATTGTCCTTCAGCCTGGGACCCAACATCTCCATTGATAAAGGCTATGCTATCTCCCTAGGCAGTCCATTCCATTGTTTGTCAGCTCTAGTTAACAAGCTTTTTACCTGATTTGATCTTTAGCCTAAATCTGCTTGCCTGTGGTGTCTACTCATTGACCTTAATTCTATCCTCTTGAGTATCACACAGAACAAGCCTAATCTCTCTTCCACATCACAATCCTTCAGGTGCTTGATGACTGCAAATATGTCCTAGCTAAGTCTTTTGTTCTCCGGAGTAAATATCCTTAGTTCCTTTACCTGATCCTATGACATATGATCCCTAAACTAATCATCTTTGCTGCCCTCTGGATGTGCTCTAGCCCAGCTGATGCCCTTCCAAAAGCGGTCACAAAATTCAGGGGATTGGTTGACTGCCATATACTCCAGATGGGATCTGAACAGGTGATCAATCCAAAATCACAGATTTGGAGTTGGAATTGACCTTAAAGATCACCTAGTCTAGCCCTCCCATTTTCCAGATAAGAACATTGAGCCTGAGAAAAGTCAAGTGCTCAAGGTCATAGCCTTAGTGTGTAGTAAAGGTGACAGAGTGATGTCGTTTACCTTGTTCTGAATACTATGAATCTACTAACACATCCTAGAGTTGAATCATCTTTTTTTTTTTTTTTATCACCAAATCATCATGTTGTTGCATGGAACATATACTCATTCAAACCCCCAGGTCTTTTTTCACACCAACCGCTGCCTAGCAAGTTGTGTCCATTTTGGACAGGCACAGGCTTGTATAATTGATTTTTTTTAACCCAGGGCTAGGTCTTGACAATTATCCCCATGAAATATTTGTATTAGATTATTAAAGAAAATATTAATACTAGGTTCTTCACTTTAAGTACAAGCCTGCCAAAGATATTTTTATTTACCACTATTCTAATCCAAGCATTGATCTTAGAGGGAGAAATACCTAAACTGACAAGAGTTCTCTCATGCCTTAGGACATGTCTCTTCAACACAAGACATTCTGAAGTGACACTTTTTAGGATTTTTGAACAAGGAAATTCAACATAATAAAACACAGCTATACAACTCAGGGTAAGGGAGCAGTTAACATTTTGCTCCATCATTCTAGGACAATAACTTTCATCTTTGAGAATCATTTTGCTAATGCGGTCATCCTCCATATGGACCAGAATATACCATTATCCCTCCATGATCATTCCTCTCAAGGTCTCTCTCCTCCCCAGCTGATCACAGGTGACCTGAAGTAATCAAAAGGACTTCTTCTTTCTTTTAGGTGTATCATTGTAGTCATCTCTTCAGGGAGCTAGGAAAGAGGCCACTACTCTTAGATGGATCTGTTAAAGGCCCCTTGCCCTTGTCCTTGTCTGGTCACTGCCCTAATTACTTTAAAGGAGTCTTCTTTCCTGGGTGACCATGGATAGGGGAGCAGGACACTCACTGTTTTCTGGGTTTTTTTTTTTTAGGCAATTGGGGTTAAGTGACTTGCTCAGGGTCACACAGCTAGTAAGTGTCAAGTGTTTGGTCTGAGGTCGGATTTGAACTCAGGTCCTCCTGACTCCAAGGCTGTAGTT